ACTCATCTTCCATGGTTGTGATCCAGTCTGCATCTTTTAAGGCTTCCTTAATGTTTTTGGGTTCTATTTGGGAGAGGAATGCTGAGAAGGCAAGTGAATTTCTGGCTTTTGATCTGGTTTGGACTCTTGAATCCAGAGGAGTAATTATGTTGTCAAACGGATGAGAGCTTTTGTGTTTCCAGTTGGGCACTTGGGCTTCATTTGTAGAGGAGCTGGGTAACCCTGACTGGTTCCCTTGTATTCTTCTTTCAGCTACCTGTGGAGTACTTTGAACTGCATCAACCACTCTTTCTTCAGCTTCAGTGGTTGTAATTGTCGTACCTGGTTCCTCTTCGACTGATGAAGAAGAGACTGCATTGTCTTCACTTGTCTCCTTCACTATTATGTCTGCCTTTCCATTTGCCATATCAATGACTTCACCTGGAATCATCATAGGCACTCCATCTTGATCATCCATGTTGCTTTTCTCACAGGAGAGGTAAGACTCGTCAAAGATTACGTGTATACTTTCCTCAACACATTGAGTCCGCTTGTTGTAAACCTTGTAGGCTTTACTCTGAGAAGAATAGCCCAGAAAGATCCCTTCATCACTCTTTGTATCAAATTCTCCAAGCTGATCTTTTCCATTGTTGAGAACATAACATTTGCACCCAAATGTTCTTAAGTGAGTCAACTTGGGCTTCCTTCCATTCAGCAACTCATAGGGAGTTTTGTTCAAGAGAGACCTGATCATGCACCTGTTCGCCAAGTAGCAGGCAGTGTTGACAGCTTCAACCCAGAAGTTCTTAGCAATCCCACTATTAATCAGCATTGTTCTTGCCATTTCTTCAAGAGTTCTATTCTTTTTTTCCCAACTCCATTTTGCTGTGGAGTTCTTGGGGCTGAGAAGTTATGGGTAATGCAATTCTCGTTGCAGAATTCATCAAACTTAGCATTGTCAAATTCTGTTCCATGATCTGATCTAATGCATGCTACTTTTGACACCATCTTCACTTAAATTTTCTTCACAAAGGCTACACAAACTTCAAAGGTCTCATCTTTTATTCTAAGAAATAGAGTCCAAGTGAATCTGGAATTATCATCAACTATCACAAAAATGTATCTTTTTCCTCCTCTGCTTTGCACTCTCATAGGACCACATAGATCCATATGAAGGAGATCAAGTGGTTTTGAGGTACTGACATCCTTCTTTGGCTTGAATGAGGATTTCACATGCTTCCCTATGGCGCAGGCATCACAGACTTTGTGTTCTTTGAACTTTGACTTGGGCAGACCACGAACCAGGTCCTCCTGAACTAGTTTATTCAGCAGAGAGAAGCTTGCATGCCCTAGTCTTCTGTGTCACAATTCAGCACCATTATCAACTGCTTTCAAGCAACTCAGATCACTACTTTTTAGGGACTCAAAATAAGCAATGTAGATATTCTTGTATCTTTTGGCCATAAGTACCACTTCACCTGTTACTAGATTAGTAATTGTGCATATCTTTGACAAGAACTCCACCTTGTTTTCTTTATCACATATTTGAGAAACACTCAAGAGACTGTACTTGAGGCCATTGACATAGTACACATTCTCAATAGAGTGAGTGAGTGATTTTCCAATCTTTCCAACTCCAAGAATGTACCCTTTTTGCCCATTGCCAAAGGATACACTCCCTCCTTGCAAGGCTTTTAGTGAAAGAAAGTCCATGGTGTTCCCAGTCATGCGCTTTGAGCATCCACTGTCCATGAACCATTGTTGACTGCTTCCTTTCACTGTGCACAAGGAGATCAAGGATTAGATTTAGGAACCCAAGCAAGTTTGGGTCCCTTTTAATAAGCAAGAGGATGAATAAGTGCTCTTTTAGTCCATGCAGGTAACATGCGTTTTTATTGGATGGCACTTGGTCCCTTTCAGCAGTTACTCTTTCAACAAACACTTTGTTTTTCTGAAGAGACTGAACCCTGGCTTGGCAATTTTCTTTGAAATGCCCAATGTTCCCACAGTGGATACACAGCCAGTTATCAAGTACAGTAACATACTTGCTATGAGGGTTGTAAGGAGTTCTCTCCCTTTGAAACCCTATTCCCTGCCTGTTTCCACCATTGTTAACGTACATGGCAGTAATAGCATCCGAGGACCAAGTCCACTTAAGAGACTTTTCAAGGTCATTTTTTACTCTTTCCAAATCTGCTTGAAGTTGTCTAGTTTTCTCAAGTTCAGCACATAAACTGGTTTCTACAGTATTTAACTCGTTTTCTAGCCTGATATGTGCTTCACTAGTAACTCCTTTTCCTTTATCAGAATTTCCAGACCTACATTCTGCTTTGAGTTCCTCTATTGTTTCCTTCAAATCTATAATCACAACTAAGAGGTCATCTCTTTCTTGCTCTAAGGCATCAATTTTCTCCACTAAGTCATTCTTTTCTTTACTGAAATTTTCAATGGTTTCTTTTAGGTCAACGGCTACTACCATCAAATCATCTCTTTCATGTTCTACACTAGCAATTTTTTCAGTTAGAACCAGCTTTTCATTTTCCAGATTACTTATGGTTCCTTCAGATCAACCACACAAACTATCAGGTCATCTCTAGTTTGTTCAGCATCTCCTAATTCTATGGTTAAGGCATCCTTATCATCTACAAGACTATGATAGGCATCAATTAACACATTTGCTAATGACATGAGTTTCTTAGGAGAGTAGGATTTCAGATTTCTCTGAACATCCCTGAAGTTTACCTCATCATTGTCATCATCTTCATCATTTTCTGATTGAGCCATCAAAGCAAAAATTGAATCATATTCATTTGCTTCACTTTCTACTTCCATCAGAGAACTATCACCTGCATCAATTTCTTATTCAGACTCACTGGAGGAATCTCCCCATGCTGCAAGAGCTTACTTCACAACATTGTCAGCGGCATTCTTTCTTTTGAAGTGTTTGTCGGGAACCGGGCTCTCTTGGCTGCTTTATCAGAGTTGTACTTGAAGTGTTCTTGCTTTAGGAGAGGGCAATTCTAGATGAAACGCCCTGGCTTTCCACATTTGTGACAGAGGTCATAATTCTTTGGTTTACTGGAACTGCCTCTCTTTGATATCCCTCCATTCCTTATGACCATTTTCTAAAACCTTCTGTTTAAGTAAGCCATGTCACTGTCCTCCTCACTTGAGTCATTGCTTTCAGCTTTGAGTACCAGGTTCTTTTCTTTCTTTGGTTCTCTTCTTTCACTGTCCTTCTTCTTCTTCATTTCGTAGGTTTTCAGATTTCCAACTAGTTAATCTATGGTCAGCTCCTGCAAATCCTTTGCTTCAGTAATGGCATTCACTTTACTCTCCCATGAACTGGGCAAGACACTGAGAATTTTCCTCACAAGCTTGTTCCCAGGAATGATTTCACCAAGCGAGTGTAGCTCATTTATGATGGACGTGAATCTTGTATGTATGTCTTGAATGGATTCATCGTCCTTCATTCTAAAGAGCTCATACTCAGTGGTGAGCATGTCACTCTTAGATTGCTTTACTTGAGTGGTTTTCTCGTGTGCTGTTTGCAAAGCTTCCCATATTTCCTTGGAGGATTGACAGGCTGAGATCCTGTTGTATTCATCAGGTTCTATGCCACACACCAAAATTTTTTTAGCACGAAAGTTTTTCTCCACAGCTTTCCTATCTGCATCGTTGTATTCTTTCTTGGTTTTTGGCATTGTCACTAGAGGGTCTCCGACCTTCGTCGTTGGGATATAAGGACCATCACAAATAACATCCCACAACTCAGAATCTTCTATCATGATAAATTCATGCATTCTTGTCTTCCACCACCCATAGTATTGCCCATTGAACCTGGGTGGTCTGTATGTAGACTGACCCTCTTCGAAATTTGGTGGAGCAACCATGAGGATCCTTTCTAGGTGTTAACCTAATAGAAAAAACCCGCTTTGATACCAATTGATAGAATATATGAGTCTACCAAACTATATAGAGACCAGGTCCTCTATAGGTTTCCACTGGTAGTGCTAATGAAACAGTAAGTAAATGGAACAGGGAACTTTTACGTGGAAAAATCCCTGCTCAAGGGATAAAAAACCACGACCTACATTGGTAGGATTTCAACTTAACTATGAGAAACTTTAGATTACAACCTATGCAATCTATGAATTAAACTCTTAATCCCTCACTAACTTGTAATACACCTATTACAAGCCACTTTGCAATACATATATTACAAAGACTTCAACTCATAACTAACTCTAGTCACGACACAAACACTAAAGGTTTATGGTTTACAAAGGGTTCCTAATTAAAGCTTCTAGATAAGCAAAGTAGGAATTACAATAAAGAACAATTACAAAGTTACAACTCAACTAAGGACATACAAGATACTTGCTGTAGGACTGGTCCATAGTAGTGTTGTACTTTGTTCTTGATGCACTTAAGAATTGAATACTGACTGATGAACGGTTGGAGTGCTTGAATGAATTCTCAAGTGTTCAAAAGATGTTTTGTTGTAATGAATTTTATTAATACAACTTTGATGACATCACTTGAATGATGTAATCACTTGGTTGGTCAAAGGGGAGTAACTGCTGTACTGTGCTGCACTGTTTGCGTGTACAGTGCAGGCAGTCAGTTTCCAGTTGTAGACAGTTGACTTCGTACTGCTGTCAGGGAAACATAAGGGGATCAGGTCCCTGTGTTGATTTTTTATCTTCTGAAGTCATAGCAACTCACATTAGCTCGAGTCAGTTGATTGAGTTGTATACCAAGTGTGTCAGGTCCCTTATCTGGTTCTTTGACAGTACGTTTGTTAGATCATCAAAACATAAAGCTAAGGTACTGTAAACCCATCAAAGCTGATCAAATAAGTCATCAATCATCGGCAATGAATACTTGTTCTTGATAGTGACCTTGTTCAACTGCCGATAGTCTATACACATCCTCATCGACCCGTCTTTCTTCTTCACGAACGACACGGGCGCACCCCAGGGCGAGACACTAGGTCTAATGAAGCCCTTATCTAGCAATCACAGAATGGCCTGATTGTGGCCCTGAGGGTAACCATGAAGCTTAAAGCATTTGTCTATAGTATGACCTAGGCGTTTGCAGTAATCACAAAATGGCCTAGTCCTGTTAATGTTTGGATAGTTAGCATTGGGGGCATAATTGGTTCTGAAGTTATTGTTTCCAAAACTATTGGCGTTTCCTGAAGTGTTGACATGAAGGGAAACAGATTCTGCAGCCAAATGATTTGTAAGTTTCATCTCTCGTTGCTTCTCATATTGAATGAGTAGTGAGAAGGCTTGTGCCATTGAAGACAATAGATTCATCATGAGAATTCTACCCCTTACTGCTGTATAGACCTCATTCAATTCCATAAGGAATTGAATCAATCTCCTATCCTGTTCTGCCTTGTGTATATTTTCCTTGGCACCAGAAGTGCATTGATAGCTGTACTGTGTCTTTGCACTCAAGGTGCTCAGTTCTTCCCAAAGTTTATTCAGCTGAGTATAGTAATTAGTGATATCCAAAGTACCCTGGGATAGATCATTGATCTCCTTCTGAATTTAGTACAACCTCGCACCATTGGTCTGTTCATATCGATCTTCTAGTTCTCTCCATAATTCAACTACATCATTAGCATATTCTACACTATCTGCTATTTCCTTTGATAGTGAATTAAGAATCCAAGAGGTGACCATATCATCACAACGTTCCCATTGTCGAAATTTAGGTGACTGAGGATCAGGTCGTTTGCACTCTCCACTGATAAAGCCAGTCTAATTTTTGGCAGATAAGCCACGCAAGACGGCGCGTCGCCATGACCTATATCCAATTTCACTAAAGGCTACACTGACTAACATAGCTCCAGGAATGTCTGAAGGATGTGAGTAGAGTGGATCACTAGGATCAGTTACAGAATTAGGAACAGCTTCCACATTTGCAGTAATACCAGTTCCATCGCTTTGATAGGTAACAGCTATGTCGATTTTTAATGAAATATGTAGTCAAAAATCAAAAGAAACCTAGATCGAGGGCGAAATTAGGCACTTACAAAAATATGATTTGAAAGGAATTAGAACAGAATCGAGAAGCTCTTTTGGACTGAGGGACGACTGATACGAGTGGATCGAAGGTCTCCGTGCTCTGATACCATGTCAATTTACACCATAAACGGATGAATTGTTTCTTGGCTGAGCTCCATCGCAGAGCTCTAGAAGCTTTGAGTGAGAGAGGAGAAAAGGACTGATTTCAGAGATGAGGAAATGAACTTCTCATTTTGTATTACTATATGTTGTACATATATACACACGAGTACAAGACAAAAATAACTAACTCTAACTGACAGCTAAGCTGGCCACTAATTAACACTAACTAACACTATCTAACTGTAACTAACTGTACAATACTAACAGCTAATGGTACAACGTATAAAAGCATATGATATATATATATATTGATGAATTTTTAGTATTTTATGTTTTGATGATCTAACAAACTTGTCATGAAGAACTAGATAGAGCACCTGGCGCACAGGATATACATTTTATGTGAACTAATCGAAGCCTGAAAATCAGCAAAGGGAGGAACACAATAGGGACCTGATGATCTGGTCCTTTAGGGTTCTCCGACACAAGCAAGTCAATGACTGTACGCAATCAAGATAAAGAGGAACACAACAGGGACCTGCTGTCTTAGGGTTCTCTGACAAAAAGTACTAGTCAAGTAGACTACTGGAACATGACAGAAGAAAGTGACCATCTGGCAACTGTTACAGAAGAGGAACACAACTAGAACCCGGTCTGTGGGTGTGTCCTGCCAGGAAGTACAAAGCCCACTATCCAGCTGGAACGCAACTGCCCAGAAGTGGCTGTGCAGATTGTACAACAGTCACTTCTCATTGGGAAGAAGTATACACCTTGAGTTGACATCACTATCTATTGTGCCATTCTTTTGGATAAAACAACCTGGTGCAAGACACACTATTCTTTGAGCATTCAGTGATATTCTCTCAAGCATAACAGTGTTCATCTAGCATTGAAGTCACTGGTGTGTCAAGAACAAGAAGACAACTCCACTAAGGATCAGTTTCTAACCGAGTCTTATGTACGTCCATAGTTGAGTTGTAATCTTGTTAATTGTTCTACATTGTAATTCCTAGTTAGCTTTCTTAGAAGCGCTGTCTTAGGAACAAACCAAACTCGTAAACTTTAGAGTTTATGTTGTGACTAGGAATAGTCATGAGTTAAATCCTCTGTAACTAGGAGAGTTATAGAGTGGCTTGTGGTGGTGCATCACAAGTTAGTTTGAAGTCTTTGCAAAAGGGTGTTTGCAAAGTGGCTTGTAATAGGTAGATTACAAGTTAGTTGAGTTTAAAGCCTACAGGTGTAGGTCGTGGTTTTTTGATCCCCTTGTGTGGGATTTTTCCACGTAGAAAATCTCTGGCCTTCTTTACATTCAGTCGTTACTACATTCTACGTATCAGTCTCATAGAGAACCAGGTACTCTATAGTTTGGTAAACTATAAGTCATCAATATGTATCAGAGTGGGTTTTTCCTATCAGGCTAACACCTAGGAAGGATCCTCAAATGGCTGCTCCACCAAACTTTGAGGAAGGACAATCAACCTATAGACCTCCCAGATTCAATGGTCAATACTACGGCTGGTGGAAGACCAGGATGCATGATTTCATTATGGCAGAAGATTGAGAGTTGTGGGATATTATATGTGATGGTCCACATGTTCCCATGAAGAAGATTGAAGAAACGGGGCAAATGGTGCCGAAAGGAAGAAGAGAGTACAATGACATTGACAGAAAAGCTGTAGAAAAGAACTACCGTGCCAAGAAAATCTTGATGTGTGGCATTGGACCTGATGAGTACAACAGAGTTCTCAGCTTGTGAAACTGCCAAAGAAATATGGAGGCGTTGCAAACCGCTCATGAAGGAACCACTCAGGTCAAACAATCCAAGATTGACATGCTCACCACAGAATATGAGCTCTTTAGGATGAAGGATGATGAATCTATACAAGATATGCACACTAGATTCACCTCCATCATAAATGAGCTTCATTCACTTGGAGATGTCATTCCCAGAAATAAGCTCGTAAGGAAAATCCTCAGCGTCCTACCTGGGTCTTGGGAAAGTAAGGTAAATAACATCACGGAAGCTAAAGATCTACAGACTCTGACCATGGATGAGTTGATTGGTAATCTGAAAACTTACGAGATGAAAAGAAAGAAAGACAGTGAAAGAAGAGAGCCTAAGAAGGAAAAGAACTTGGTGCTTAAAGCTGGAAGGAGTGATTCAAGTGATGAAGATAGTGACATGGCCTATCTTACTAAGAGATTTCAAAAAATGGTTCGAAGAAATGGTGGCATACCAAAGTGGGGCAGTTCAAGTAAAACAAGGAACAACGATCTCTATCACGGATGTGGAAAGTCAGGGCATTTCATCAAAGACTGCCCACTCGCGAAACAGGAGCAGTACAAACAAAATCCTGACAAAGCAGGAAAAAGGAACCTGGTTCAAGAGAAAAGATTCAATCGAATAAGTGCTGCTGACAATATCGTTAAGCAGACTCTTGCTGCTTGGGGAGATTCCTCAAGTGAATCCGAAAGGGAATCAGATGCAGAAAACAGTTCCTTGATGGCAGTGGAAACTGAAGCAACAAAGTACGACTCACTGTTCGCTCTGATGGCTCAGTCAAATGATGATGATGAAGAAGATGAAGATGATGAAGTAAGCCTTCCGGGATGCTCAGAGAAATCTGAAATCCTACTCTTCCAAGAAGCTAAGGTCTTTATCAAATGTCTTAATTGATGCCTACTATAGCCTTATAAACGATAAGGAGACCCTCACAATAGAACTAGGAGAGGCAGAGAAATCGAGAGATGATCTAGTGGTCTGTGTAGTAGACCGAGATGAGACCATAGCTAATCTTGAAATAGAAAAGGAGGCCTTGAATGAAAGAATAACTAGTGTAGAAAATGAGAGAGACGACCTAATTGTAGTAGTTGTTGATCTAAAAGAAACAATAGAAGGCCTTAACAATGAGAAACACACCTTAGAAGAAAAAGTTGCATCTACTGAAGAGGAAAGGGATGACCTGTTAGCAATATGTGCTGATCTAGAGAAAACCATCGAGGGAATCAATAGAGAACATAGGAATGTAAGTCTTGGAAAAGGGAAGGAAGTAGCAAGTGAGGCGTACATCATGCTTGAAAAAGAGTTAAATGTTGTAAAAACCAGTCTTTGCAGTGAACTCGAGAGGAATCAGCAACTCCAAGCTGAGTTGGAGAAAGTAAGAAATGATCTTGAGAAATCCTTGAAGTGGACCTGGTCCTCAGATGCTGTTACTGCCATGTATCTCAACAATAGTGGAAACAAGCAGGGCATCGGGTTCCAAAGGGAGAAAACTCCCTACAACCCACACAGCAAGTATGTCACTGTACCTGATAACTGGCTATGTACCCACTGCGGAAACAATGGGCATTTTAAAGAAAATTGTCAGGCCAGGGTTCAGTCTGCTCAGAAGAACAAAGCGTTCACTGATAGAGTGACTACTAGCAAAGGACCAGGTACCACTCGCAAAAAGCGGATGCTGCCTGCGTGGACTAGGAAATCCCTCATTCATCCTTTTTTTAGTAACAAGGGACCCAAGCTAGTTTGGGTTCCTAAATCTAACCCTTGATGTGCATGTGCAGGGAGCAGTGAGAGGAAGCAGACTGCGATGGACTATGGACAGTGAATGCCTAAAGCACGCAGCTGGAAACATCATGAAATGCTTCTCACTGAAAGCCCTGCAGGAAGGGAATGTATCCTTGGGAAGAAAGTAAAGGGTACATTCTCAGTGAATGAAAAGGCAGAGAGGTTCCCTTGGCACTCGAGTAGGAAAAGACGGAACTGGAAAAATGATGCATGGATAGTGCTCATCGCCTATAGAATCACCAAAATTTTGGGCAAAAGGAATGAACACTGCTCTCTCTTGAGAACAGGTGTCGAACCAGGTCCTTCCTAAATCACAACTCGCCAGGAACCGCCAATTGGAAGAAAATGCCTTGCTCCTAACAACAGGAAGGATCAGCTTGGGAAGCACAATGCGAATAGACGAGTGAAGAAATCCTTCTGGGGAACACCCACAAAACAAGGTCAAAAGGTCCCCAACAAAGGAGGCACTAAATGGCAGGAGATGCTCATGGGGTATTCAACAAGACACTTTTCCTTGCCAAGAAAGAAACGATGATGATCAATATGATGAACCAATTCTGTCTCTGGGAAGTATCTGAGGCTTCAAATAGGGAGGATGATAAAGTGAGCAAGATGAAGGAAACTGGCAAAAGATAACTCAACTTCCTCCACCACGTCTCACACAGAACCTGGTGCACCTGTCATGATTCATGCCTTATCTTCTGGGAGACAAGGAAGCAAAACGAAATGACCTCATCAACAACTGGAGAGAAATTGCAAACACATTGAAGGGTGAGATCATCCTCTGAGGGTCAATATGAAGAAAGGATTGATCGGTGGAAAGCATTGCAGAACAGAAGACCAAACTCCAAATATCTGCATCAAAGCCTCAAGAAGAGAATATTCCGGATAAATCAAGGTGAAGATGGGGTTACAAGAATCTAATGAAGAACCTGATCTTTCATCTGCTGGTTGTGTAAGATACCATCAGGTAAAGGTATCTAAAGTGTTTTCTGACCAAGCCTAACTCACATCAATACCGTTATAGGTAAACACGCATGACGATCATAGAAGCTAAAGGTTGCTATGAACTGCGAGAGGGGAGCTGCTAAAACTTTGTTCAAAAGACTGCTCTGGCATCAGATTCTTGTATCTCAGGTTAGTAGTAATGTGCTTATTCTGCATGCCCTCCTAAAACAAAAAAAAATATGTTTAACAAAATTAATTCAAATGCCACATCATCTGACTTTTCAGCGTCTGCATGTCATGTCTTGTCTTTCAAATCCTTTCATCCCCTCTGCACGGTAATACTTTCCCACAAACCTACCGCTGCTCTTCAGAACTATTCAGAACCTGTTTTGCTCTCCACTCATCATTAGCCCTTCTTCCAGTAAAGCCTTCTTTCTCTCTCAAGGCAAGTCATGAACCTTCATCTACTCTATACAGCTGGGATCTTCTCTTCATCTCTCTCTCTCTCTCTCTCTACTCGTCTACCAAGTATTCATCTAATGGCGATCGAACAATCGTCTCATTCTCCCATCATTGACACTGGCCCCACTTCATCATTATTCTTGAAATCATCCCTAGAGTATCATTATTTCACACCCTCTACCACCTTTCTAACTCCTGGTTCCTCCTCCACACCTACGGTTTTTCCATTTCTGATAAACCCTGTTTACCATTATTTTGAGAATCCTATGTCTAGTCAATCCCACGATCTCATCAAAGATCACACAGGAGGTTTTACTCCTCAAGTGTCAGAAGCCCCTATGGATGATCCTGACTAGTATCTGAACACCTCCATGTTGGACTCAGTGACTCTCAAGGAGTCACCAGAAAAGGAAGCAGCTCATAACATCATGGCTATAGCTGCTGAGAGTCTGATGAATGAAGGAGCATATCTCTCGTCTGAGTACCAGGGGGAAGAAATTCCATTCCTAGGAGATGTAAGAACCACAGCAGTCCTCGAGTCCCTGGCTCATGAGATATTCTCAGAAAAGCCTTCTGATGAACCTGATTCTCTTCCATGCAAACTCACTCCTACACCTCCTGTTCACTCCAAGCTCTTAGAGTCCTCTTCCAAATCACTCACTATCAGGGCACTACAGCAAGAGAGTTCTGAGTCCTCATTTCAAAAAAGTAAGAGGAGTGTCAAGACAAGGAAAAAGAGGAAAATGAATCTAAAGGACTTCATCAAGAGAGTGTCAGTAAACCAAATAGACCAAGATGCTTCCAAGGAACCTGGTTCCTCAGTACAACAACCTATGACAATTCAACAGTCTATGAAAAAGGCCATCGATGAAACTGTTAAGAAACAGAAAGGGTCATCTGTAAAGTACAGTAGCAAGTCTAAACGGAGTCTAACAGAGCTAGTTGTGTGTGAGGACAATACTGTGGGGATGGCAAGCTGGAAAGGAAAGTCTGCCAAAGGGTCTAGCAAACAAAAAGAGGAAACTGTTAAGGAACCTGGTACAATAAAGTCTATGACCCGTGATGGTGGTCTTTGGCAACAGAGATTAAGAACTCAGAAAGTGTTGTGGGGTCGTACATTTGATCCAGCAATTTCGGAGATGACAGGCATGAGACAAATTTTGGAGATTGTGGAATTTAAACAATGGGAACACTTGTTTGAAGAGAGAATGCCTCTGGTGTATGAAGATGCAGTACAAACGTTTTACGCATCTCTCTTCACTGTTGAGGGGGATCACATTTGAGTTCTTGGAAATGGAGTAGACATTGTAATCGACGCTTTGATGTTGGGAAAGATTCTCAGAATTCCGTGTGAAGGTATGTTCTTAGTTAAGGGTGTTGGTAGTGTAAACTTTCGGAGAGCCATCCTGAAAGAACAAGGTATTCAACAGGGGGAACAGGTGCATAAGAAGGTTTTGCTTCCTGAGTACCAGCTTCTCTTTGAACTGGTTAATAAAGTGCTCTTACCCCGCTCTGAGAGGCGCTCTATTGCTACAAGATTGGACATGGTCCTAATGGAAGCGCTCGATGAGTTTGTCCCAATCAATCTACCTGCAATCATGATAGACCATATGCAGAAGGTGGCAAATTTCAAGGGTGGAAATCATGGGTTACCTTATGGCTTTCTCCTCACTCAGGTGTTCAAATTCTATAAGGTTCCCTTGGGGAATCCTAGAGTGGGCACACACAAGCAAACCTTCTCTAAGACCACTCTAGAAGAATGTGAATGTATTGAAAAGGTTGGTGGAAGCATCTCGACCATCTCTCAGCTGATCAACGCTCAAAATGTAACCTCTGAGGAAATAAGAAGGCTGAGGGCTCAAAATGCCATACTGAAAACTCAGCTCAGTCAAGCAGTTAAAGGACCTGATTCTCTACATGAGGAGATTACACAACTGACAAAGGAAAATGAGAGACTTCGGGCTCAATTACTTGAAGAACAATTGTCCCCAAATGCTAGACTGGACCTGGTTCTCAAAACCATGGCCGTCTCTTCTTCCAAGCCTCCTTCCTTTAGTATCCCCTAGGATCCTCCTTGTGTCAAGCTAGTTTTGCTCCAACCTCCTGTGGCTGTTGTTTTACTTTTGTTTGCATGTTTTGTTGTGATGGCATGTTGTACTTAACCATTAGTGCTCCTAAATTACTCAGTCCAATGTAAACATTAATGAAACAGCTTCCTTCTCGTTGCTTGTACAGCCCTGTGTTCCTCTGGCTTCTATTTTCTGTCATGTTGTGTGCACATATGTGGCATGAGCTAGCTGTGTTAGACTTCTTTATGCTTCTTACTTACTGGTACTCTTTTAAATTCATGTCCTTTTTAATGATGCCAAAAGGGGGAAAAGAAGAAGTGTGAGAATGAGGGAGATCTTAGATTAAGGGGGAACTTACGTGTGAGAATGATGGAGATCATAGATTAAGTGTGAAAATGAGGGAGATCTTAGATTAAGGGGGAACTTCTGGCATCTCATCTGGTTATTTCTGCTCTAAACAAATACTGTCCATGCCTAAGTTTGTCATCATCTAAAAAGGGAAAATTGATGGGTTTTCAGTATTTTATGTTTTGATGATCTAACAAAATTGTCATGAAGAACCAGATAGAGCACCTGGCGCACAGTACATACATTTCATGTGAATTAATCGAAGCCTGAAAATCAGCAAAAGGAGGAACACAACAGGGACCTGATGATCTGGTCCTTTAGGGTTCTCCGACACAAGCAAGTCAATGACTGTACACAATCAAGATAAAGAGGAACACAACAGGGATCTGCTGTCTTAGGGTTCTCTGACAAAAAGTACAAGTCAAGTACACAGCTGGAACATGACAGAAGAAAGTGACCATCTGGCAACTGTTACAGAAGAGGAACACAACTAGGACCCGGTCTGTTGGTGTGTCTTGCCAGGAAGTACAAAGCCCACTATCCAGCTGGAACGCAACTGCCCAGAAGTGGCTGTGCAGATTGTACAACAGTCACTTCTCATTGGGAAGAAGTATACACCTTGAGTTGACATCACTATCTATTGTGCCATCTTTTGTGATAAAACAACCTGGTGCAAGACACACTATTCTTTGAGCATTCAGTGATATTCTCTCAAGCATAACAGTGTTCATCTAGCATTGAAGTCACTGGTGTGTCAAGAACAAGAAGACAACTCCACTAAGGATCAGTTTCTAACCGAGTCTTATGTACGTCCATAGTTGAGTTGTAATCTTGTTAATTGTTCTACATTGTAATTCCTAGTTTGCTTTCTTAGAAGCGCTGTCTTAGGAACAAACCAAACTCGTAAACTTTAGAGTTTATGTTGTGACTAGGAATAGTCATAAGTTAAATCCTCTGTAACTAGGAGAGTTATAGAGTGGCTTGCGGTGGTGCATCACAAGTTAGTTTGAAGTATTTGCAAAAGGGTGTTTGCAAAGTGGCTTGTAATAGGTAGATTACAAGTTAGTTGAGTTTAAAGCCTACAGGTGTAGGTCGTGGTTTTTTGATCCCCTTGTGTGGGATTTTTCCACGTAGAAAATCTCTGGCCTTCTTTACATTCAGTCGTTACTGCATTCTACGTATGAGTCTCATAGAGGACCAGGTACTCTATAGTTTGGTGGACTCATATAAGTCATCATATATATATATATATATATATATATATATATATATATATATATATATATATATATATACACACACACATACATCTCAATAATATCTATTATTTTTACAATTTTAATAAATTTTTACACGTAAGTTTTTACTCTGCGTCGAAAGTTATGGATTCAATTAAACTCGTCCCTAACTTACTACATCTGCCCCTGTTTGTGTTCTTCTTATTTTTTCAAGAGCTCTCAATGTGAATGGAGAAATTCTTTGTAGGAAAGAACCTTAAACCCTAAACCATATCTTTTACCTCTCACTCCCAAAAAAGAAATATCAAAACTAAACTCCAAAAAGAACGTTAAAGTAAAGGAAAGATTGCACTCTTACTCCTTGGAATAAGCGCATTAACCTTTAAATTAGAAGGTGTGTTATTTCATCCATTTATAATATGGGAAACATAGGTAATATTTAGATATTTATAGTATTGTATTACTCTCAAATATGACATAACAGTACACGCTTAAATAGAATATGAGTAATTAAAGGACGTACTCTAATAATTTGTTAAATCTATGAAGCTCCACAGAAATTGATCAAAAGTGAACATATCAGACTAAATCTAAGAGCCAGTTTGGACATAAAAAAAATTCACTTTTTCTCAAAAAAGAATTACTTTTTTTCGAAATTAGTGTTTGCTCCATAAAATTTCTAATTTTCACTTGAAGATGAATTTTGGAATTTTTCGAAAATTTGAAAAGCTCCAAAAAGCTGTTTTTCAAATTTTTCACTCATATAACTCACAAAACTTCAAAAATAACCCAAATTTATATTTATTTCCAAACGCAACTCTAATTTTCAAATACCATTTTCGCTTGAATTTTTTTTTTACTTTTTTTTTTAAATTTTACATTTTTTATGTCCGAACGCCCACTAAATGTGTTTAGCAAAAGAATTAAAATAATAGCCCGTTTGGCCAACCTTCTAAAATCAGCTTATTTTGAGAAGTGCTTTTCTTAAAAGTACTTTTTAAAAAAGTGCTTTTGGTGAGAAGTAGTTTGTGTTTGACTAATTAATTTGAAAAGCACTTTTGAGCAGTAATTAGTGTTTGGCCAAGCTTTTGAAAATTGCTTCTAAGTGTATTTTTCTCAAAAGTGCTTCTCAGAAAAGTCCTTTTGGAGAGAAACTACTTTTTTTTGCTTCTCCTTAAAAATACTTTTTTTCCTTCCAAAAACTTGGCCAAACATCTCATTTTTTTCCAAAAGTGCTTTAGGCCAAGAAAAAACACTTTTGGCCCAAAAATAAGCTTGGCCAAACAGGCTATAAGAACATTTAACTTAAGGGATTAAAAGCACAAAATCTAAAGAGGAACATGGTGGTCTCTCGAAAAAGAGCCTGACACAAAAATGGAAAAAGAGAACGCGTTTTATCTTTTTCCGGTAAATACCTCTTAACGCGTTGATACACTGAATACTCCATATATATGCTAGCTCTCACGGGGCCGTCTTTACTAACCCTAGAAAATCGATTTGTCTATCTCCAAATCCGAATCGCTCCGACGTCTTTGATGTTCAGATCTTCCGGTGTTCCTGTCGCAGATGACTTTCGCCCTTCTCTACAACGACCCTTCATACCCCCCTTTCTCAAATTACAATAAAGAAATCAAATAATTCATTGTTTTTCTACTTGGAGGTTTTTTAGTGTGACAAAGGCGAGTCATCTGTGACAGGATAATGGAAGATCTAGTTATCAAAGGCTTATTGGGGCGTTTTCTTCCATGATCTCCAACACTTGTAGAGTATTCTCCAAAGTACTACAGGTAGACATTTCTTTACTACTCCATTAGTTATTGGGTTGCGTATTATTTGCTTCCGATTTGATGTCATGTTAAACAAAAGTAACTATTTTGTTTCTGTGTTGAGATTTGCTTAAAAAGACTAAGCTTTTTACAATTGTTTGGATATGTGCTAGCAGAATTGGACCTTCTAGTGTATATTTGAGTCTCTTGAGTTTATACATACATAGACATAGCTATTTGACTGCTTACTCTGCAGTTTAAGGTGGGTGGGGTACAGATATTAATGCGTATTAGTTGCCTCATATTTCCATAATATGATTTGTTATAAGAAAATTAAGGTATCCTGGCAGTCGTCTTGTTAAATTATTTTTTGATACAGCTTTTTATTATGACTAATGCACAAAGTTATTAGGTGTCTCTCAAGCAAGACTTGAATTGTGATTCCTTCCCCGCTGAATTTAATTGTTGATTTGGACAGATCTTTGATAGTTGTCATGCAATTATATATAGTATCTGAAAAGGGATGAATGGAGAAGGAAATCAATTTAGACAATTCTATATTTCTATTAGCAAGGGAAATGATGAATGATTGATGAAAAGGCGTCTTAATTTAGTGGTTGTTGAAGTGTTGTGGACACTGAGGTACCCTCCTAGGATGCCAGATTTGCTCACTGTTTCACTGGGACTGGGATTATGCTTACCATTGATAACTTAATCAATAGACAAAAGTTCTTGCAAAGCATTGTGCACATGAACCTCCATGGTTTGATTCATTGTCAACCATTTTGTGATAAGACAAGACTAAGGGTGTGTTTGGTACGAAGGAAAATATATTTCGGAAAATGTTTTTCAATTTTCCCATGTTTGGTTGGCTTAATTGTATTCCCTATCAAAAGAAGGGAAAACATTTTCAGAACTCTTTTTCAACTTTCTCCACCATATTCCCCATCCCACCAACCCACCCCACCCCCAAACCACCCCTACCCTACACCCCACCCACTCCACCCACCCCAACCTCTCCCACCTCCCACCCTAAATAGAGCTTATAAAGAGTAGTTTCTTTTCATATTGTAGATAGAGTATTTTTTTCACTCACCTACCAAGCAAGGAAAAATAAGTGATAAAACTACTCATTTTTTCAAGAAAATACTTTCTAAGAAAACATTTTCCATGGAAAACATTTTCCTTCTTGCCAAACACACCCTAAAAGTCTTGCCTTCCGTTCCCTTTTTTTTCAGGAGTCAATGCATCCTTTATAGCTGCTGCTAGCAACATATCAAATTATCTATCTCATGTTGGTTGAGTATGAGGTTAATTATCAATCATTTGGTTCATGTTTAGCTGTGGTGATGGCGGAAATTTCAGAAAATTGTGGGCAAGAGCTTGACATTTCTCTCCTGTACTATTGTTATTACATCCTGGGCATGTTAGCATTTCTCTGAAGGTCCAGGTTTTTCTTCATCTGTGGTGTGTGATATATCATATCCTATTTGTATAAGATAGCCAGTGAAGCCTTTAGTCATAATGTTCCCCAGGAGTATTTTCTTTCGACTGACGAAGACTGATTGAAAATTAGCTAGTTAGGCGGGTCAAATTAGCTTAGACCGTCAAGGTTTTGTTAGTTTGCTAGTTTTGTAGTTCTTAAAAGAATATCTACACATCTGCTCTTATATTGTGTTAAATCAAGTTTTTGACAGTCAAAGATATGATGTTACCTTGTCTAACCAAATCCTCGACTGCCAGATACTTTTTTTGTTCGAGTTTGGTGCCACTAGTCAGTTTATTGTTCTCAGACAAGAACACAATTGCAATGATATCATTATAATATTACAACAGGTCTCTATATCAAGTGTACAACTCTGAGTTTTAAAATGAAGTTTTGGAGCTAAACGGCTTGTGTAGATGCGCAATAACAAACTAAGAACTGAGAGTTTTGTTCAGCATCTAAATAACCAACTGCTTCTAGACTATTAACCTTTCTATATGCCAACACATTGTCTTTAGTGTTTCTAAAGATATCTTATGATTCTCTTGGTTGCGACTTGCAACCCAATGATCATGACTAGGATTAAGTACCTGTCGAGGAAATTTACTGTGTAAGTTAAGATATTCATCTAAGCATATATCAAATTGTTCACAGCACTGGCATAAGGAACATATTTCATAGGTTCTCTTCATTTTATTTTTGAGGCACTTCTTCGCCCTATGATTTGTCTCCTTTGACCATTGGTACATCTTCAACCTTGCAGCATAGTTTTTGGAAAATTCTCGCACATAAGACTTCTGAGATAACCTAAAAATAATGCAATATCTATTATCCTCAGAACATGATCTATTACAATGAATCTCGATGCTTTACTACTGGCAAGCAGAACATTATCCACATGAAGTATGAGAACAATGGATCTTCTCCCAGTAATCAAACATTTTATATATCAATTACTTGTCCTGACAAAACGTAGTGCATCAATCCATCAAATTACTCATTTGTTCAGTAGTTTCTGAATTAATCAAGTTTCTGAATCTCTACTCAGAAACATGTAGTTTCCATGTAAATTATTAGTTACAGCTTACAAACTATGTAGTCGCTCTAGTACGATGACCAAAAACCTTGATACCGTCCCTGTCATGAACTTAACTTAATCGATTCTCCAGCAACTTATAGAGTTAATCCATATATAAGGGTCAACTATTCATTCACGAATTCATCCAATAATCACCAATTTAATGCATTCAAAAATTTGATACCCATATCATGGATCAATCCTCCAATTGACGAATTTCACAATTCTATAACGCCCATTGCATTACCCATTGAATTTCCATTACACCCTACGCTATCCATCTAATTTTATGGCGCGTATTGCATAAGCCATCCAGTTGGACTTTGGAAATCCAAAATCCCCAATCCTATACATGGGTTAAACCCTAACTCATCAATAACTCTACTATGATGACAATTAATTATGATTTCCATTTTATACTAGTCTTAGGTTAATTAGACGTTACATTTGCAAGTCAAAAATTTTAAAGTGAGAAGTATCTGGGATGCCCTTTATATGTGCTGTTGGAACTGCTAGTCCATCAGTTGGCAGCTATGTAGCCACGCAAAGGAACTTTGAAGCTAATGGAAAAACTGATAGCCAGATTCTTTTGGACTGGTGGAGATTCAACAGGTAGATATCATTCGGCTTCTTGGAAGAAGTTGTGCTTTCAATATAAGAAAGGAGGAGCCAACTTCAAGTGGTTAAAAGATATTTACTATGCATTTATAGCCAAGCAACGGTGGAATGTGAGGACAAAAGATTCATTGTGGAAAGAATACATGTATTGCTCCAGGTCACACCTTGTGAGGAGAATGCTACAAGGGGCACATTCTCGAAGTTGCAGGGCAATGTGTAAGATGACGAAAGAGTTAGAGAAAGGCATTAGATGGCTATTTGGAGATGGTAGAGCTAATTTCTGGTATGACAATTGGTCAGGAGAGGGGGCCTTGGTGGGGCTACTAGAGGAAGGGGCTAAACTTAGCGGTCTGGCGTTGTTATAAAGCAGGGAACGTGATGTCTGAAACAGAAGCAACTTTGCAATAACCAAGAGCAAGACATATTGAAGAACCGAGTTCCAGAAATTAATTCAAGTCTAGTTCGTTTTGTCTTGATGTTGTCATAGATGTTTTGAGTTGTAATCTTATTTAGCTTGGACTCAATTTAATTTGTAAGAACACTTGAGTGACAATCTTTTGTCCTAGACTAAGAAATTAATTTGGAGCGAGTAGCTACGATCAGTAGGATTGTAGACTGTAGGGTGACTAGATTTAGTCCCGAAACTGCTCGTTGTTTTCGTGAAGTTTGTAAAAACAATCTCGAAGTTGGATCATGAATAGGGCTGTCAAATTTGGCCCAAGCCCAAATGACCCGCCCAAGGTTGGGTTGGTTATTGACCCGCCCATTTATTAAACTTAGCCCATCTTGACCCAACCCATCTCAACCCATTTAAAGTTGGGCTAATTTTTAGCCCAAATTGATCCATGGGTAAGTTTGTCAAAATATCTTAGAAATAATTTTATTTTTTGTTTAATATTTTAAATATGACCATAACAAAAGCAAAAAGCCTTATTTAGTAATTATACAATTTATAAGGAAATAACACATATTNAACTTGAAATAAATGCCTCAGGTAAATAACACATATTAATTAAAGTTTAATAAGAGTTGGGCGGGTTGGGTTATGACCCGAATTTTAACCATCTTGACCAACCCATCTTAGCCCAAGTAACTTTTGGGCGGGTCATTTGACCCGCCCAAATATTGACTCAACCCATTTTGACCCGCCCATTTGACACCCCTAATCGTGATTTTTACTCCCTTGAGCAAGGAGGTTTTCCACGTAATATTTTTTGTCTTCTTTATTTTCTGCATTTATTAGCTACAGAATCGCAAGACCTTGTTCTAAGGAAAATATAAAATTCTTGTAGAAAATTTAATTGGTCGATATACTATTTGCCGCCCTCCTAGTGTATAAGTGGTGTATAATTTTAATAGGTATTAGAACAAACTCTTAATTACCAGGCTTACACATCTGAGAGATTCAGAAGATGAGTGCACCACCTGGATGAATGAGGCCAGTCCACCACATGCTCATCTTTGTTCAATGGCAAGTACTACAGCGGGTGGAAAGTGATGATGGTGAACTTCTTAATTGCTGAAGAAAACTAGTTATGAAATATTATTCTGGATGGACCAACTATTTCAATCAAGCTTGGTACTAGAGGAAGAGAAGTTCCCAAGGAAAGAAGTGAATTTAGTGATATTGATCGCAAACTCATGGAAAAGATACTTGTGGCTTGGGCCGTGACAAGTATAACCAAATTTTTGTATGCGCCGATGTAAAGGACTGGTACTCAAGGCATCCAAAGATGCTGGTTCTGATGAATAAGAAGAAATTAATATAAGTCTACTGGCAGACAATTAAAGAAGTTTTTCAAACACTCAAAAGGAACGAGAAAGAGAGAAGCTCCTAGCAAATTAAAGGCTCAAGAAACGACAAACTTTAATGGCTGCTATAGATATGGAAAGCTTGATCACATAGTCAATGATTGACCACAGTAAAAAAAAATGAATAAAAAAATAAAACATGTCAAGAAATAGAAGAATGACCTAAAAAGCGACTGTGGACTTGGTTCTAGTTACAATAAAGCTCATATAGCTAAAATAAATGCTGCAGAGGAAGACATGAAGCAAGAATTTCTGGCTGCATGTAAAGATAATAGTGATGACAATAAGGATGAAGATGAAGAAACTAATGAGGCATTGTCCTTATTTGTGAATGAGATAATCAACAAACTTGGCCAGAGGGAGATCCAATAAATTGTCCACCCCCACGTACTAGACAACACTTTGATTGGTGGAAGGATATAATGGAAACCTTTCTGCAAGCTGAAGACTTCGACCTATGGATGATTGTGAATCAGGGACATTTTATACCAACAAAGATTGATAATGAAGGAAAGAAAGTTGCCAAAGCAGAAGAAGAATTCAATGCTGATAGCAAGATGATGCTAGAGAAAAATGCCAAGGCTAAGTTGATTCTATATAATGTTCTAAGTATTGAGGAGATATATAGGGGTTTTAAATGCAATATTGCTAATGAAATCCGGGAAAGGCTACTCGTAATGCATGAACCAACTCACTCAGACATGGCACTAATGGTCTTGATAAACACTGATCTGAGAAGGTTAATGCTAATGTGTCCATGATAGGTAGGAGTGGCAAACGGGCTGGTCTGGTCGAATATGGTTAAGGTCGAAAATGGGTAATGAAAAAATGGATAAATTATCCGACCTGACCCATATTTAATAGGGATAAAAAATGGATTAACCGGCGGATAATATGGATAACCATATTATCCATGACTTTTTGCATATATGATCACTTTTGGGAGAATTCTTAGTCTCCCTAACTTGAGGAACCCTCAATTTGAGGCTTTACAAATGTAAAAGTTAGACCTATTGGTTATACATTGGTTACCCATTGGTTATCCATTTCCTAAATGGATAATATGGTTCATATCTATATTTGACCCATTTTTAAAAAGCTCATTATCCAACCCATTTTTAGTGGATAATATGGGTGATTAACTATTTTCTTTTAACCATTTTGCCACCCCTAATGATGGTATAAGTGACTCTGAATCTGAAGAGGAAAACGAGGAGATAAATATCCCTGACCTTAAATATAATCTTCATCTTTTTCCTAAGACTGTTTGTCGTGGTGCTTTTATTAAATACTCCCTCCGATCCACAATAAGTGATTTTTTGGTTGTTTTCACACACATTAAGAAATTCACCTTTTAATATTAATTATCAATAAAATTGATCATATTAACCTTTACTATCTCTTCACATAAACACTCCTAGCATATACTCCAACACTATTTACTCCAAGGGCAATATAGGAAAAAAATTCATTCTTGAATTCTGAAAAAGTCACTTATTTTGGACCACAAAAAAAGGTCAAAAAATCACTTATTGTGAATCGAAGGGAATAATCAGGTTAAAAAATTGAGTGCTGAAAATAATAATAATTTACTAATTTTTAACTGCTAAGTTTGAATGCCATAATCTTTTGAGAAACAAGGTCTTATTTTAAAATCTAAAATTGAAGCACTCAAATTTGAAAATGAAAAATTAAAGAAAGCACCACGTAAAAGAAAATTTGAGATTAGTGATATACAAAAGTCACTTGAAAAGGAACTAAAATTGACCAAAGAATACGTGTGCAACTAAGTTGAACGTAATAAAGTAATTCAAGAGGACTTGAATAAGGTTAAATATAAACAGACTAGAACCTCCAAGTGGGACAGGTCCTCAGAGGCTCTAGAATGGCCAAACCAAAACTACAGCAGATATATAACTTTCTTACTATACTACAAACCTCCCCCTAAGGTTGATCCTAAGTATGTAACCTCTGCATCTAGTAAGCTGTGTACATATTGTGGAAATACTGGTCACTAAAGAAAAACTTACTTAGCACTGCCCAATGCAGAAAATAAAAGGGTTCCAGTTCAAAATCCGAAAGAAAGAAAGAAAGACTTATGTTGTAATGAACTCAAATTTATCAAGCTGGACTAAAAAAATTATTTGATTCATCCTTTTAATTATAAGAAGAGACCTAAGCTAGTCTGCGTTTCTGAATCTAACACTTGATTTATATTGCAGGCTAAAATAAGAGGAAACACCCAAGACTGGTATATTGACAGTGGCTTCTCAAGGCACGTGATAGGTAGGAAGAGAAATTTCCTTCAACTAACAGCCTTTTAAAGGAGGGAGCATGGCTTTTGGGAATGGTAAAAAAGATAAAATCACAGGAATGGGTAAGATTGATAAGTCATTCCCTCAAAGTCTAGTAAATGTGTATTGTGTGAATAGATTAAACTAAAATCTGCTGAGTGTCTCCCATATATGAGACAGGTGGAATCGGGTCCTGTTTGACTCTACTGAGTGTCTTATCACAAGTGTAAAATCTGGTGAGATAATACTTAAGAAAAAGAGATATCACAATGTGTACGTTGCGTCTATTGTATTTCTACCTGACAATGAGGTTATATGTCTCGATATGCTTGATGGTGATCCTCTACTATGGCATAGACTACTAGGTCATGCGAGTCTGGCTCAACTTAATGAACTAGCATCAAAAGATTTATTTGTGGGATTACCAAAAATTGGATTTAAAATAATAAAGTGTTTGATGCATGTGTTAGAAGCAAGTATGTCAGGTTCTCCTTTAAATCTAAGAAGGTTATTAGTAGATCTAGACCTCTGAAGTTGTTCCATATGGATCTTTGTGGTCCTATGATGGTTATGAGTTGAGGTAGTAAAAGATACATTCTGATTATAGTTGATGACTACACTAGATATACCGGACTCGGTTTCTTTCCAGTAAAGATGAAACCTTTGATATTTTTTGCATATTTGTCAGAATAATAATAAAAAAACTAGACTTCAGCTTGTTAGCACTAGATCTGACCATGGTTCATAGTTTGAAAATGCTAAGTCTACTGAATTCTGTAGCATGCATCTCATTGATCACAATTTTTCTACCCCAGAACTCCTCAACAAAATAGAGTAGTGCAGAGAAAGAAAAGAGATCTAAAGGATATGAGAAGAACCATGTTGATCTCTAGTGGGCTGGCCAAATATTTTTTGGGCGGAAGCTATTAATACTCTATGTTACTTCCTAAATAGATGCATGGTTTGACCCCTATTAGATAAACCTCCCTACGAATTTCTTAAAGGAAGAAAATCTAACGTATCACATCTTAGAGTATTTGATTGCAAATGATATGTTCAAAATAATAGCAAGAAAGCTCTAGAAAAGTTTGATGCTACAAGTGTTGAGAAAGTGTTCTTTAGGTTATTCACCACATAGTAAGGCATATAAATTTTTTAATAAACGAACTATCAGTGTTGAAGAAAATATGTATATTGTATTTGATAAGTCTGATTTTTCTGTTGAGAAAAATGTGTAGTATAATGATCAAGAGCTTAGTCTTGTAAGAAAAGAGAATTTTGATCCGGAGATTCTCTTGAAAGTGAAAAATATGAGGAAAGACAAGCCAACATGGGGGAGATGAAACATCACACTCAGGGGGGACTTTAATTCTACCTGATGAGGAAGAAGAAAATGGGCTAAAAGAATATGTTCCTCCTGTTGGTCTTCAAAATAAGCATATTCCTCCACTTGATCTAC